TACGCAGCTGACCGCCGAAGATACGATCCATCCAACCTTTTAAGATCATTCCAGATTACGTATCGACAGCTTGACGGCTGTATGTATGTGCATCTGATGGCGGTCGATCTAGACGCTGTTCATCATTATGATGAGTACGGATTGAAGAATATCAGTGATGAGCCTGAGGAGATTAGAAAGATTCATGGGCAGATGATTGTTTTCGTCATGGAGTGGTTGAAGGGTTTCATAGGCGCCAGGTTCGCGATGATGTCTTGTATTTAACGGCCATTTTCAGAGCGTACGCTCGAAGATATGTGAGTATTCATTTCTGTATGGTTGTGGCTTCATTGAACAAGTGGACGATTCCGATTGTTGGGCAATCGTCCTGACTTTGTGACCGAAAAATGTAATGCGATGCGCCGAAGGTAAATGGGTCCCCTGCAGATCGGAACGCACCGTGACGTTTGACAACGTCACGACTATCAAGTTCCGGGGAGAATATGTTATTACAAGAGACGTGCTAGCCTATGTTAGGTATATATATCACGAGGATTTGAAAGTGTACCACAAGATTTATATTTGTCCCTGTTGATTTGGTCGCAACAAACAATAACTTGGAGGCTGCCATGTTAGAGCATGTCAGCAACGCCGACTTTTAGCATCTCATAGACTTCGGTCTCAGCGTCCTTTGCTTGTACTCAACTTGAAAGCTTTAAACATCGTACCTCTCTGAATGTTTGTTCCTAGTAATACACCATTTGGGGGGAAGACCATGACTGAGACGGAACAAAACCCGCAACTCCTTGTTCTGAAACATGGTCAAAAACGGGTCATGGTTAAACGGCAAAAGTCGTATAATGTGGGCGGAACAACTATTTAATCTTTGATGGCTCAGGTGTATTATGAGCTCATGCTTGACTTCGCCTCCCAACATTTCCCAAGTATTCCGAGAGATGTGATCACGTTGTAGATCAATCAACTCGATGTTTGCGATGGCCACTATGCGGATATCACAGCTGAAATATGGGACGATGTCATTCACTTGCTTAGCGTCGTTGAGGTGATTCGGCGTGAGGAAATGACATCGCCCGTCCCACCGCTTGCTTGATGCTTGTGCTTTTTCATTGTCTGACAATCAATCGGCACCAAGTCAGGTTAACGAACAGAGCAGCTCGTACGCACCCCAAATATTCTACAAGTGTTTTCAGTACTGAAGTTGATACCACACAACAGGGACGATGATAAAATCATAATCAAAATTGTTTTTCCATCTGGCGAGATTCAGACTGCTAAAATCTCAAGGAAAATGCGGGTGGATAAACTCGTTGCTGACGCTCATCAGATATCGGGATATTATCCCACTCCTATCAGGGCAGTTTTGGGTGGGGTGATAATGCGTGCGAACTGGAGTATCGGATCATACATTATCGAGGATGGTGATTCCATCAATCTTTAAGTTTCTGCGCCTCGACGACTTGCTAGAAAGCCAGTCATTCACCTATACTCGCCCTCCGATATCGATGTCTCTATCAAGCTCTCCCTCATCCTGAGTAGAACCTCTCTGTCATCTATCCCGTTGTTACCACGGAAGACCATGACAGCGTTTAGAATGGAATGCCCGCGACCAAGATAGAAGTCTGACTGAACATGATTCTGGTTTAGATGTGTCGTACTTGTTCTGGGAGGCAGAGCAAGTCCCCTGATGATACAGAAATCACTCTCCTGACTTGTATTACCCTTCGCAGGACAAATTTGCAAGCATTTCCCCGGTCACGAGCATCCAAACCGCAACCAGTGGATACATTCAATCCCATATCCAGCAGTCTCGACGATATGGATTCGATTGTCATTCCAGTGGACAAAGCAACTGTTCACCTCGATAAATCACTCAAGGTTTTGGGACTTCACACTGAAGCTAGAACATCATTCATAAGGTGCGCAACTATGCGCTACCTTGGGCTGTTAAATCATAAACACGTGACTAAAATTGACATGGTACACAGCTACTCGCTACTATCTATCCTTAAGCACGAATACATGCGGCCATTGCCCTCTGACTTGTTCCTCAAGCGGCATACGAACGCGCCGCTTCTTTATGCATTTCTCCGCAGCCTGATGTCGTGACTCGCGTATGCATGTTGTTCAAAGGTATCTGTAAGGAGCGCCTAGCAAATTGGGCTAATGCACAAATACAAGCAGAGAAGGACGTTGATTGGTGGATAGATGTAGTTGGAGTCGATCCTGTAAGAACTGGTGATGTGACTTTGTTCAGGCTGTTAGAATGGGGCGGGATAGAGGTTCTCATTCGATATTCTATCAGTTCACTCGATTTGTGTCAAGGTATTATCGCGTGTTGTCTTGATTAGTTTTGCATCTGACAGTTGTGAAGAGAACGTGAGCTCGACGGTGTCCGCGAAATAGATGCATATTACCTTGCGGAGCAAGGTCTATGAATGCGGCGTGACCTGTGGTGGTAAACATCACAAAATATACACGTGATCATCGCGAACCGTCTGACACCAGACACACCAAAATGAATTAGACTGCGTTATTGCTGATTCTGCACAGAATTACATTATGGCGAATGAGATAATGGTACAAAGTATCTTCAAGAACGATCCTCCCGAACAATAATTACACTACTTTTTTAAAATCCATCTGGCAAACTCATTTCATCACTGGCCCTCACACATATGCCATGCTATGAACGGCCCGAGGTTCGATAACAGCGCGAACAATTAACCTCGAGGTTGTTTCAACCACGCTGATGCAAAAGCACACAGCATATGCGAGGATGGTATGTGCTCCAATATCCAGAGCATACGAGAGCGCGAATGCGTCCAAATTGATTTATACCTGGAACCTGTCCAAGATATGAAAAAATGCATAGTGACAAAGACTACTCGCCTGAATATGAACCACGACTCCAATTGATCGTCTGACCTGCGATTCTACAAATGTAGCTGCTTGCCGTCATTTCTGTATGAAAGTCAACAGCCTGGCGCATTCCGCAATTAGATACGAGCAAATGACTAACTCAGATTATGTCATCACAACAGGTGTCATGGACTTCATTCACAGCGGACAATACGACGAACGAACGACATAACCATTATCAAAAATGCGGCAAAAGAGAACACGGAAAGTCCGTAAGTTAATTGTCAGACAAACAGCCCAAGCACCAATTTCTTAACTGACCACTTGAGGAATTTTGAGAGCAGCATCTCTCAACCGTTCTGCTAACAGAAGTGTATCTGCATACACCACTGTAGTATCTAAGTCGCGTGCCATTTTCTGAGCGATTCCTCAGTAATAAATTAGGGTAAAAGACGCCAACATATAACTAACTGACGTACGATTAAACTCTGCTGGATCTGCACATAACACTTGATCTGCAAGGATGGTAGGAGAGTCTGTATAAATCATTCGAGACCCGCTAGACTCAAAGGCTTCTTGGACAGCGGCCGCAGTCTGAATGAAGATATGAGGAGTGCCGCGAGATTGGTTTTCGACTGATGAGACACTCATCAACGATAAATAATGCACATAACGAATTAAACATACTAAATATAAAAGCACATTCGGCGTTGGAAGTCTTCAGCAATTCGAACACGCTAAGCTGCATCGTAGACCCCTTCGACACCCTTTGGAAGATCTTCGTATAGGAGACGAAAGAATGCGAGAACTGGTAGAAGACACCGAGAGACGTTTTAATGAAGGTGAATATGGACCCATATGAAAGTTTACAGCCTTTTGTATCATGCTCAGAATGTTGTGCGTCTGAACGGCGAGTAATCAAGGATATTTGGCCCTGTTGATATTGTGGGCAAGTCAAATTAAGCGAAAGAGCTCCGCAAGGTAAAAAGTCGGCAACGCCGACCTCTAGTGATTAAACAAGAAATCCGCTCGCCTGTGCATATATGCTGTGTATTGTTCATATTCACGCTAGCAGCGAAGAGTCAACGACGGCTGTCGATGCAAAATAAGAATCGACCTATTTTTTATTGCACTGCTTGGATTACAGCTACGGTCGTTGAAGGCCTTGGGATTGCGCATCGTGGTCGATTGGGCTACGATCGCATCTTTGTTGTTTGCAATTTCGAAATGGGGTACAAGTGCCTTCAGCTCTGATAGTAGGCTATACGTACCAGTCTTTCGAACCTGGGGAGCAAATAATTACTTTGAGTTCAAACGTGATTCCAAATTTGTATGAGAACATCATCTTTGTAGATCTAGGATACCCGTCTCGATCATCTCGAGCTGATCATTCGAGTTGCCATCCTAGTCTGGGCCGAGGATCTGGAACTTCTGAAAGAGTACTCCAAACGTGCGTCTCAGCTAGCTATGGTGCCCCCCTGTTTGTTGTTTTGTCATCAGGATCGTTTGGTATATATAGGGCAACAAATCAAAGGCTCGGCACTCACCATTCTCCTAGCCTCCTCATACACACTCCCGTCCTACACATCACTACCAGTTGACGTACGTACATGCATCTGAAAATCAATAGTAGGACCCGTCTCCCCTTCATTGGAGTCGTCCAAAAGCTTAGCATTAAGTTCTCTGACACTAAGGATAAGCCGTGGTCCCAGCACAAACAGCTGCACGAGCCCCCAAAATATAAGAGCACCAGAATAAACCTGACGTCCCACAGAGGACGAGTTCTATGAAAATAATGAACAGGGGCCATATACAGATGTCAACGACAGACGGCTTACCTGAATTTTTGGAGAGAAATCACCGAGGCGGAAGCAGGAACTAGCGACAAAGCTAGCGCACGCAGAATTTCAGCCTCAATTCTATTATGACCAAATTCAAGTCATGAGCTCACCCTGCGAAATAAAGCATGTGAGTTTTCATCAACACCGCGAAACAGTCCCCCATGATTGATCCTGTCGATTGTTGTTGACGGAAGTGTTTCACAGCAACCCAGACTGCAAGACACAGTGCGGTGACCTCCCATACAGTACCGAGTATCCAAGTCTTGGGGATCAGAAGTTGAGTATTTCCCTGAAAGTCAAAATTGCAGTGGGAGTTGCCAGAGAAAATGAGCTCCTCTGGAATCCGCCCGATGAGCTCCATGCCCTGAAGTCTTTCGCATAGTCGAAGCTCACCTCCTGAAGTATCTTTAACTAATATTCCAGTGATTACTACGCAGGCGATCGTGACGGCCAAGAAGATGACAACGAGGAAGATCAGCACCCTCTTGGATTTCTGATACATGGCATGTAACCGAGCGATCATTATAACTTTCATGATGTTTCAGTCAAGTCGATATTACCAAGGTATCGAGCTCACCGCCCAGCATGGCGTTTACGAGAACACTCATCCAATCTAGTACCAAATACATGATGGTGCCTTCGACGCCCAACTAGTGATCAGCCTTGGCAGACCAAACATCCTAAACAAACTTACAGCTGTTTGCAGTCATATAATAAACCGACAAGCTGATCAAAAGTCTCACTCACCCCTGCATTACAGTGCGGTTAATTGAAAGGCGATATCATACATCAGTACAGAACACTCACTGCATCTGTCTCGAAGAATGTTGGAAGAGTTACTGCATGCCGCTGGTCAAAAGATATAAAAAGGCACACATGATGGGACATACGCAGTATGTTGAGGCTGATTGCGAGATGGTTTATTAGCACAGCGCCAACTGGTAGGCTTGCACACATACACAGAATACGGTATCCCAACGTAGCGCACCTAGTAGAATATTTTCAACTCAGTACAACTTGTAAATCATATCGATAACACGAGCTACTTACACTGAGATATAGGAAAGTCATGATTGACCAACGTTGGCCCTGCCCCGATCAATTGTATTATGACGTTATTCTTCTAATGTGGAACTCTGCTCACCCAGATCAAATCAACCTGTGAAACGATTCTGAGTGAAGATGTTGCTCTTGTAATGGTACTAACTTACCTCCTGTCCGAATGACAAGACTGGAATTACTATAAGATGATGGAAATAGTTCTTCAATGCTATCTTGCTCACCCCAATCGTATATCACTGCGATAGAGGAGGCAACTGCGAAATGGGGCCGCAATTAAGCTTAGATGAGAAATCACCATCATTATCCGAGCGAGTCCACGCACCTACAAAATAGCTGACAAAACGAAATGTATTGATGTACGGCCACAAATTGGGATCATTCAAGACTTGGGTCATATTCGAGGATGGGTGTGAGCGAGAGATGAATTTGGTTGATGTGCTGTAACGCTGGCATCGTTCAGACTGATATACAACCATCCAGCACTTTCTCGCCGAAATAGGCGGCTTGAATAGTTGTTCCTATGTCTACTGAAGTAATGATCAAGAAAAGTAGAACGTGGAAATCCGGGAAGGACTTTGCCAGCACAAACCTTGCTTGCCATGGCAGCAAGGAACGACTCCTTTCCTTCATGGTTTGGCTGGGGAAACTATCTTTGAAGAATACAGCAATTCAAAAAAATTGTCCTTACCGTTTGACACGGTGTTATGGATTCTGATTGCTCAACTGTACATCTTCGATATGTTTGCGCGCGGACGTGCCAAGCAGTGATTCCCTTAAACAGACCTTTATAGATGGAGATGTCGTTCACATTGGTAGTTATGGAGCATCATTAATATGATACAGTCATCCATCTAATGCAGACCTCGTGTCGTCTCAATATGGAGAGGATATGCGCTCTCAGCTCCACTTGGCTATGCCCGGGGACAAAAGCTTAAAGTATTAATAGCCACCTTAACTGTCAGCATAAGTGGCATACAGACTCACCTCTCCTACCCACATCCTCCGAAAAACGCACTTCTTTGAATCTCGGGTGATGCGATCAAAGTCCATCGACTTGAACAATCAGGCGAGAGACTGGCCTGGCGAATACATGATGGCTCAATGAGAGAAAGGTGAGTACAGGATCAGTATGCTACCTGACTTTGGTCATGGTCCTAACGTCTTCTAGTTAGACTCGTAACCCGTCTCAGCAAGCTGGTCACGAGCCTTTACATAATTGAGGTCTAACGCCCATTCCCAGGGTTGCAATCGACTGATTTTGAACTTCAGCCAATCAAATTCATGCGAGTTTCAAAGCCTTGAGTTATAACTCAAACTACTCCGACGCTCGTTACACTTATTCCTTCTACAGTCAAAGATTACGAACCGTCTAGTCACCTCTTCGCTTGATTGGCTCATGGCATCATTTATCCGCCAATTCACCTCTTCCCCGGTACCGCCTATAGCATCTTCCACTTCCACCTCATTCACTGATATTCCCATCCCATCTTTCATTATTTCTAATTCGAAGTCTGCAACCTGGTTGTATACAACCGTTGCCATCGTCGGTGCTCTCCTAGTCCTTGAACAGTCCGTTTATAGATTCAAGAAAAAGCATTTGCCTGGCGACTCATGGACAATTCCAATTATTGGAAAGTTTGCAGACTCCATGAAACCAACCATGGAGGGCTACATCAGACAATGGAACTCTGGCGCGTTGAGTGCTGTAAGCGTGTTCAACATGTAGGTCTAGCTTTGATTATCACTCGTTGTCCTTCTGAACGTGTTCTCAGTTTCATTGTCATGGCTTCATCTAATGAGTATGCGCGGAAAATCCTAAATTCTCCCGCCCATGCTGAGCCTTGCCTTGTGCACTCAGCAAAACAAATTCTCATGCCCGACAGTTGGGTCTTCCTAAATGGGAAATCTCACGTCGAATATCGCAAAGTCCTGAATACTTTATTTACCCGTAAAGCTCTCAGGTCAGTACTTTTAATATTTCCCATAGTATTTCCCCCCTGATTTCGTACTTCAGTATCTATATTGGTATTCAGGACGCAATTGCTCGCAAGCACTTCAGTCAATGGCTTACAGACGCGCAGAAAGATCCTTCGCCACAGTCAATTATGATGACCGCCCGTAACCTCAACATGATCACTTCCCTTCGTGTTTTCTGCGGCAATCACATCCCCGAGCATGGTGCTATTGAGATCAGCGAGAAATACTGGGACATCACGCAAGCTCTCGAACTCGTCAACTTCCCTTTGGCTATCCCTGGTACAAAAGTGTACAGAGCTATACAAGCCCGCAAAGTTGCCATCAAGTGGCTGGAGCTTGCTGCATCCAAGGCCAAAACTGCCATCGCTAATGGCTGCGAACCTGAATGCATGCTTGACGAATGGGTCAAGGAGTTGGAGGCCCCAGGATACAAGGGTCGTAAGGATTTCAGCGACCGTGAGATGGCTATGGTTGTGTTCTCGTTCTTGTTTGCGTCGCAGGATGCCATGAGTAGTGGGTTGATTTATGGGTTCCAGCACTTAGCAGACCATCCCGACATTTTGGCCAAAATCAGGGAAGAACAGTACCGCGTTCGCGCCGGAGACGTCGAAAAACCAATCACCCTTGAAATGCTCGACCAAATGCCATACTTGAAGGCGTTTGTCAAGGAAAGTATGCGTGTCAAGCCTCCCGTAACCATGGTTTGTGCTTCGTGTAAACTTGATGGTGTTGTACTGAAACACTTTGCTTAGGTTCCCTACAGGACGACAAAGGCTTTCCCTATCTCTAATGATTATGTTGTTCCCGTAAATAGCATGGTGATACCCTCATTCTACAACTCCCTGCACGACCCCTCTGTTTTCCCCGATCACGACGAGCTCATCCCTGACCGTTGGCTCGATCCCAACAGCTCCGCCAACACGAACCCGAGGAACTACTTGGTCTTTGGTAGCGGTCCTCACAAATGCGTTGGTATAGAGTACGCGACGATGAATATCGGACTGGTTCTTGCCACCGCGAGCGTGTTGATGGACTGGGAGCACCATATTACACCCGAAAGCGATAAAGTCCAGTGAGTATCGTGGCGCACGAGCGCGTTGACCACACTGACAAGTTATTCAGGATCATCGCAACTTTGTTCCCTAAAGACGGATGCCTCATGAAATTTACCCCTCGTCCACGACCTTGATCGTGATGATTTGTTGTCTTGTTTTAGCTTTATTGAGCATATGGCTTTTATCTATACCCCCCATTAGGACTTGGATTTAATTTTCTTAGAGGCATTCGTGATTCTTGGATTGCAATCATAGTTTTTGCATTTTTGGTCAAGCGCGGCTCGTGGCAGTCAGTTAAGATATCGGCAACGCTCATGGACCTATTACGCATCGCGACGTCGCTTTCGCTGCTGCGGGTTTCGGTGGAGAGTACATTCCCCGGATTAAGCCGAAGGTTCGAGCAAGACCTC